GCGTCGACGTACTACTATGGCCTGCTTACGCGGAGAGCACTGACCCCCCCAAGGTCGTTCTTACGCGACTGCACCGTGCACATGTTGCCGCGAATTGACGTTGTCCCTCTCTACCGTCTATCGTCTCCTTCCCCCGTTCTGGCCTCGCGGAGTACTTGATCCCCCGTCACTCTTCCTTCCTCCATCGAGACGCGCGCTGCACCGACATGCTTGCATCGCGACGGACCGCCGACCACTTCTGCAGCCTCCTCGCGATGGCGCGTGTGACACATTCATAAAATACCGATATTCGAAACGAGACAAAGACGAGACGAGTGGGGCGAGAGAGAGAAAGAGAGAGAGGGAGAGAGAATGGGGTCTTACACGAACATATCAACGTAAGAATAGATAGGTTGTGTGTGAGAAGCTTTTAGCAAAGTCAGGTGGATTACTCGAGCACGACGATGCCTTGTAATGTCGTGTGTTTCTTTTATTGTATAATAATGCTGTTTTTATGTAACGTTAATTGTAATTCATTAACTGGTAAACGTATATACGTTATGCTACGCGTACAAATGAGTCAGTAATATGTAATCGATAAATAAGAGTGATTGTACATCCGTAATTTGGAAAGAATTATTAGGCCTGTTCTTTTTAGCTGAACTTTTGCATCAGTTCGTCTTTCTTCCTCTTCTTTCCTCCTGGAGAGAAAAGGAAGAAAGATGAGCTGATGCAAAAGTTCAGCCAAAAAGAACAGGCCTCGTGTCACGATTTAGTGAAATCATACGTATATAGATATCATGGAAAGAACAGTTTCGCTAAAGTATGTAAACATTTAGCTAGATACAGATCTGAAAATAATTTTGTTGAAAACAACTATGTACGACACTCAAGATGTTTACTAGGATGCTACAATTTTTTACAACATTACATCATGCTTGAGCGTTCTAGATAATTATTTTGTCTGTAGCTAACTAAATCTTTATGAAAAGAACGGTTTTGCTGAAATATTAAAAATTTATTTATTTTTTTATAAATTAATTTTTTTATAAATATTTCAGAGCAAAACTATTTCCGTATAGATATAAAAACCGTTCTTTCCATTTATCAGTTATCTCTATGTAGATCGCCGGGAGGAATTGACTTTGCAGCGAGCTAACGTTTCTCAGTTATTTATCGCACGTCCTCGAGAGATCCATAATTAGTACTTCATTTATTGTGGGGAGAAGTCGGTCGACGATTACCGGTTAATGAATTAGTCGTTACGTATAACGTAACTGGCGTTAGAACATCATTCCGTGCGGCATAATCGCGCATTCGCGACGTTCTATTCCGTGTACGTGCGTCACAACGACACAGATACCAATACAAACAAATTCCGCTGCGCCTAGAGTCATGCGATTATTAGCATATATTCTGACGTTCAATTGCACGCGAGACTTCCGCGTTCCCGTCACACGCGAGTCACGCTCTTGCTCGAGCTTCGCTCTCCTCGCTTATCCCACACACACGTACAAACACATACACCCGAACATACGTGACTGTACTAATTAAATATCGCGAATATCGTGGAACGTCGCGAAAAATTGAGGCACTCCTTCGACCGAGATATTCGCATCATAATGTCAGTAAAAAAGGAAAGAGAAAGGGAAAAAGAGCTTTTTAATTTGACTTAGCTTTTGTAGAAACACTAAATAGATAATAGATTACATTATGATATGCGAAAAGAAGCACTTAGTAATTTAATTGAGTAATTAAATAATATTTAAAAAATGACGATACTTTTAAATTATTATATTTACAATATAATATAATTTCTTTCCTTCAACTGTCGACTCTAACTTATCAAGCATTTATCTTTTAAGTAATTCCCGTTAAGTGGCTATGCACCGAGCGATTACCAAGTGTTTATTATTTGATGTCTCATTACGAATCGCGAATAACGCCGGCGATAAGGACGCGTGAGAGTAAATCAAAGCCTCGCCTACTAACTTGGACAGTTATTTATAGACGTTTCGCGCCTTTTCGCGGGCGAGACGACGTGCTGGCCCCGGGCCAGTTTCGGCTCGGATTCATACTCGTATGTCCGAATGCATCAAGCACGTGGAAGCGCCTTGACGCGAAGCCGCTTTCGTGCACGTGCATAGGCGCGCGCGTGCGAGGCTGACAGACGTCTCGCTTTTCTTCCTCGTGCCTAGACGAGTGTCTCCTTCCGCTTGTCCTAGTTTATGAGCCCGGGCTAAAATGTTACGGCACCTATGGAGCGGTGCCAAAAAGGGTACGTATGCACGCTGGAAATTGGGAGCTCTAAATGAATAGAGCGCTGATTGAATTCTTCTTTAAATGGCACAGTTTAATGTGTATTTCTCCGCTAGGTGTATCCACGCGAATGCAATCTCTCGCTCCGATAACAACGAAAAATTGATTCTTAATAACGAACTCTGTAACTACATGAGATTAGTACATACTAGAAGTTGCTATACATGGAATTAGCAAAGTTAAAATATAAGCATATAAAAATATGTAAGCACACACATATATAAATATTTTTAAACAATTAAATACCCAATAATGATGTTGTCATTTAACAGTATGTTTAATGCTTCAATGTAATGTGAGTGATTGAATTTACTGTAAGTTAGAGAAAGTGACAAAAAATTTAATATGATTAAACGTATATTTCGATATAATACTTATTATTAGTGTATTTTCTCTGAAGACCGGTAAACATTGTTATTTGTCAAACTCTCATTATTACACCATAAATGGGAAAGGTGCACGAAGCTGCGTGACGTTTTTGCGTGTATACGGCAGTCTTGCGGCTAACGAAGGACGTAAGATTGTAGCACAAAATTACCGATAAAACTTGACATGGAAGGAGGGGCTTCTCAGTGAGTTCATTAGCCGACGAAAATTATGATACGAAGCACGTGTCGGCGAGATTTTTCCTAATAAACTTTTTGATTGGCAAAAACATCACGATGTCCGCGAGATCAACCGAACTCGCGGATTTTACGACCGAAGAAACGAATTGAGTTTTCGACGCGTGGCAATCGCGACTCGGGAAGCATACAGAAACACTGAGTACATAATAAGTTAATAACGACTTTATTACGCGTTTTATTACGTATGAATCACCTCGAGTACCAAACGAGAGAATTGACTCAATAAAGATAAGATAAACTGCTCGGCGGATGCGAAATGATCGTTACGATGGAATTATACTAGAATTCAGAGATATGGGTTAGAGCTGGGAGAAATAGAGAGGCGAAGTTAATCTCTCTCTCTTACATGCGCGATACGACATCGAACCATATTACGGAAGTGCCCTTGTCGAGAGTGTTCGCGGTTGCATCCATACGAGGAATCCGGACCAACCGGATTTCCATCAATTGTGCCAGGCGCCGAGAATGGCATAGTTTACAGAAACGCCCACGGTTTCGTATGTCATTCAGAACGCCTCCTTCGCCACATGGTCTCAAAAAAACTCGCTGTCAAAGGCTGTCGATTATCCTTCGCTTTTACGACCTGAATTATTGCAGTATTAGTAATTCTAATTTCTTCCTTAAAGGGATTTTTTCTGACGCTTTATAATTTTTTTTCTTGGAAAGATATTATGCTTTATTATGATAATTTACGTAACAGAAGGTTACAATAATTACGAGTTTGTCTGAATATTTTTAAAATTTTTATGTACCTGTAGTTAAATTCTCAGTTAATTTTATATAATTTTTTTCGAGAATATAATTTATAAAACTAAAACACGCTTATATCACAATTATATCGCAAAGAAAATTTGAAGTACAAAATATGTATTTATTTGAAATTATTATTTGGATTACTTTTATTTATATTTATCAATTATTAATTCATTATTTATAATTGTTTGTACAATTTTGTATGTACATTTCGAGCTGAGATATTTATTCCATCACAATTTCGCGACTTATAGCACTTATTCGACCGCGGGAATTTAAATATTAAACAATAAAGAGTATTAAATATTCTTTATATTGTAACTGGCTCGTAGCCCTTCTTTTATTTATTAATTTAAATATTATTTACATATCCGTCAATGTGCGATTTCAGGAGAAAGACTCACTCGATTACATCATATATCGATTATAAAATTTTCTATTCACTTTATATATCATATGTAACAATTGATAATTAATTATATGAATTTCTATTTATCCTTCAGAACGGTTCGATTTTGTGAAGATCCTATTAATACCAATTGCTAAACGTTTTTTTGTAGAAATTTTTCATATTTATACTGCATTCCACGAATTATAAGTTTTAAGCTAATTTTTAAAAATGTTATATTTTTGTATAATGAAGGAATTTATTCGCTTCGTTATACGAATTACGTTACTAATAGTATTATGCATAATGTTGTTAAGTTGTTTATTGCACCACGCGAGCGTGACATTTATGTGTTTAAGCTATTTACGTGATGTATATTATTTAACGTGCAACATAATATCTTTGCGTTCATATCAATGATTTAACAAACGAATCCGTTAATTCTGTTGCAGAAGACGAAGAGGGGGGAATCATTGATGTCGTGTCAGTCAAAACTGGTAAAAAGCAAGTATCGTTCGCAAAGCAGATGACACGCTATAATCTGGAGTTCCAGCGCAAAGAAGAAAACGAAGATTCGAACGAAGACGAGCCCTCAGAGCCTCCTGTCTCTCGCCGGCCTCGTGGTAGACCACCGGGTTCCACAAAACGGAAGGCCAATCGATCTGGTCCCGCTCCAAAACGTGCCCGCATTCAGAACAATGTACATTCAAATTATCAACAGCCTGAACAGCCATCGTGTCAGTATCAAAATTCGATGCGACAGAGCGCCTTAGAGCAAGATTCATCTGAAGATACGAAGAGAAGGCGGTTGCATAACGATATGGAACGACAACGGCGAATATACATGAAGGAATCCTACGAACAGTTAAGAAAGAACGTGCCAGCGATTATGTACAATAACAAAGCGTCGAAGGTGTCTATCCTGAAGCAGGGGGCAACGTATATTAAGTCATTAACCGAAATTGGTAACACTTTAAAAACTAATGTCACACATCTGAGGCAGCAGAATGAGATGCTCAAAAGAAAACTCCAGCAACACTTAAACACTGCAGGCATACGTTAATCTTTTTCTTAGAGAAAATTGAAATTAAAGCGATACTGCGCATCTGTCTGATTCTTTGCGATGCGTACATGACATCGACGCGTAAATTAACCCTGGAATACTATTGTGGGTGAAATTTCACTCAAGTGTCAAATCAAGTTTAGTATAGTTTTGGTTACTAAAATTTTAATAGTATAAAAATTCAATAAGATTGTTTAACATTCAAATTTATTTATTTTTTGTACATAAAAATATAGTGATAGTTATTTTATATTTTGTAATTTGTAAAAACATAAAAAATATAAAAAAAATTTTTATTTATGTGGGTGAATTTTCACCTAGAGTAGTGTTAATGTAAGAAAAATGTGAATAGCATTCCAGGTTTAAATGCGCGAGATCTAAAATCTGTTGTAAATAACTTAAAATTATAAAATCGCGGTAAGTAAGGCAAATTCTCTTTGATATGTATATTTGTTTTGTTACAATGATAAAATTGTCTTGTAACCAATCGGAAATCTTAAATTTTAAAAATTAATATAAAGTCGCCATTATTTATGTATCGATTAACTTTTTTACGTCTTGAAAAAGTCCAGGCAGTCCAAAAAAAGACAGCTTTATATTGATTTTTATGATTTGAGGATCAGATAACGATTTTCCTAGAACGGAAAGAAATTGATTGGTATTGATATTAGGTCTAGCAAATTGATATTAGCGTTTTTTTTTATGAAGAAAATCGGATTGAATTTTCGATTTTTGTATGAATTATATTGTTATCCATCAATGCTCTTCATTTTATTACACCCAAAATGAAGTTGTACAGTCGAGTCTCATCGCGAGATACATTGTGAGATAGGCGAAAACCTTTAGGTTACAAAAGTAAAAAATATGAGAACTAGATAAAAATACATCGAAAATATGATGAATACTTAGTTCTAACTACATCTTTTTAATTGGTTGCGTCCAACAGAAAAAGTTTCCAATTGTTATAAAATTCTTTAATATGATTGGTTTTGCTCTTGCTTACTGGATCTAAATGAACCAATCATGTTAAAAAAATCTTACAATAGTTACTTTTTCCACTGAGTACAACCATTATATCGATAGAATGAAACAAAATGCCAAGCGTAGATGCCCAATAGGCACACGAGTTATTTCTATCTACGTTGCTTGGCTGACTCATTCATCTCACTTTCTTACCGCAACTAACTAAGCTGTGCCCGAAAGCGGTTACTTAACCTTTAGCATAAATCGCTAAAAGAAACCTAAGTGGGGCGTCTTCAAGGTCGAGGAAAGAAGAGACTGTTCTCTTCTCATAAAAATCAGAACGAAAAAGAATGAAAAAAAGAAAAATATCATCAATGGTGTTTAAATCGGGCATTAATTATATACGCAAAGAATGAAGAATAGAGAATACTACTTAAATAGAGAATACTATTTTGAGTATGATATGGATCTAATTGTAAGATCCAAACTTTCATTTGTGGAGAAATGTCTTTTGTTCTTAGAAATAATTTCTTGTTTTTTTCTCACTTTTCTCCCTTTTTTGTACTCTCCTATTTATAAAATGTATGAAAAAAGTAGAACTAAGTCAGTTCGAGTCCAAAACGCATTCTAAGATGAATCGGTCTATATCAATACGTTATTACGTATTAATGTAAAAACTGCTATGATTACTTTTAAAAGAATAAAAAAATTGTTTGAAAAATTAAAAAAAATTGATGAAACAAAATGATTAGTTTAGTTATTTGAATGATTAGATTAGTTATTAGAATAGATTAGATTAGTTATTTGAATGATTTACTGAACACAATTCATACAAAAATTGAAATTCTTTCCGATTTGTACAGATTGATTAATACAATATGATATGACTAAACAAATTTTTAGTCTAATGTTGCGATTACTATTCAGCGATTTGCTTTCGGTTCTTTGCCGACGCTTTTGCGCGACTTGTTAACGAGTTATAATGCATTTTAATCGATTTTTTTGTCAATTTTTTTATCAATTTTTATAATAGTTATATCAATTTTTGCATTAATGGATTTTTCGTTTTAGAAAAAAGTGCAGATAAAAGTCTTACGTAAGAATGTATGCGACCCCCTCCCTCCCCCTATGTGAGCATTCGTAAAAATTTGAATATATGCGACTCCCTCCCTCCCCCAATTATGCTTACGTATATATGGACAGCCTCTTATCTGTTTGAAATTAATTCCATCGTATTTCGCAAACTATTTTAAAAATTGATGAAAATTTGACCGCAAAATTGAACAAAATTGACAAAAAATTGATTAGTTAATTGAATATTAGAATAACGATTATTAAAATAACAATTGGCTATTAGAATAATGATTGTCAGAATATAAATCAACAAAAATCGAAAATTCATCATTTTTATGATTGAATTGATAGAAGAATTTTTCATGGTTGCGGCCAATGAAAAGAGTAATATGATCGGTATTCAGATTATCTCCGACTAGCTCGATCGAAGATATCTTTTTCGGTATTTCGTTTCTAACATCGCGTCTTTTCAACGATTCGCTTTCCGCCTCTTGCTGTCGCGCTTTCGCACAACTCGTTGACGCCGACGAGTCATCGGGGAAAGTATTTTAATTTCCATCGCGTAGATAAAGCGAATTATTCAAGCAGTCGGAGAAGACCTTATCACGTTATTGTTCAACAACCTGACTACCGGTTCCCAACCGGTTCATCTTAGGGCACACTTTGGACTCGGATTGTCTCGATTTTAACTGCTTTTTGCACATTTTTATAAATAGGAGAGTAGAAAAAAGAGAGAACAACACGCGTGCCTCGATTGTCAACAATTACCAGTTCTTATCTTAAACTTAAATAAAAAAAGAGGGCGGGAAAAAGTCATGCGAGTTCTCGCGCAGAAAGAGAGAGTTGTCTTTCACGCTCTCAAATATCGACACGCTGAATATCGATACGCGAGAACTCGGGCGTACTTCATTCGCGGGACATTACAATTGTCTGATTATCCCCATTAATTATACGAGAGTTAGCATACGCTCAATTTGCAGAAATTCAATTCGAAATTAATGTGCGGGTAAGGCCATTTTCAAATAGCGAAAAGTGTTTCCTTTAATAGAGAGAGTTATTTCCAGAATAGTGAACACACTTCTCCATCATTAAAAGTTTGGATCTCAGGTCTTTACTGTACTCAAAATAGTGTTGTCTATTTAAGCTCACTCTATGTATATAATTAGTGCCCAATTTGAACAGCACTGATGCTTTTTCTTCTTTTAACTTTTTTTTGCAATTTTCCTATGGAAAGAGATGCTTTCCTGAGCGAGAAGTTTCCTTGACTCTGAAAACGTCCTATTCAGATTTATTTCAGCGATTTATGCTAAAGATTGTGGCCGTTTTTAGACACAACTTGGTTGTAATAAGTAGGAGAGCGAAATGATGAGTCAGCCAAACTATCTAGGTAGAAACAGCTTGTATGCGCATCAGGCATCTACGCGTGGCACACTTTGCTTTGTTGTTATTCTGTTGATATAATTAAAACGCTGTACATAGATAAATATCGAACAATAAGATAACGATAAAGAAAAAAAACGGTCGCTTAATACGGATATACATCTATGAACGCTAAATGAACAGTGAATTCGGACATTTGTTGTTGTCATTCAGCAGATGTATACGCCAAAGCAAACGCGAATCGAGCTCGGTTCCCTCATGAGGCGGTACATTAAAGACAATTCGTGCGCGATTTGTGCGCAACGTGCAAAAGAAGTAAGTGACGTGTTCGCTTCTTGAACCGATAATTTTTTTCATGATAATTCTTTCCAATGCTGGTGTTCGATGTTACCGAGAAAAAGAATGAACCATCTGCGAACACGAATGCGAATGATGTCTGAATGATCGCTGTTCGTTCGGTGTTCATAGATGTATATCAAGTTTTGTTGTACAGATTCTAAGCGACAGGATATAAACCACGCGTAGAACTATATCTTCGGCGGCTCTCATTTTTATTATAATTATAATTAAATATTAGTTATATTTTCTATATATTTTTTTTATTTTTCAAATTTCAATTAATCGTATCATCTTGATTAGACTCCTCGTCCATCTGCCTCGTGCCTATTTTTCACTTTTGCACTCGAAATTTAGTTTTTTTCTCTTGCCATATTTCGAGACCGACTATGGCTTAGGGCTTACATCGCGTTTTCTATTGGGTATAATAAAATGAACTAAATCCCACGGATTATTCATTTTTTTTTCGATTGATGAAGTAGGAAACAGGCGTAATTGTAGGATCGATCAATTTTTTTATAACATGGTTCGATCCAGTACAGAAATTTCATTTTAGTGACGCCTTTAGTAATATTACAGTTCCATTTTTTATATTTTTAATTAGTTAATCGTTTTGTTTTTGTAAACTTAAGTAGAACATTTTCATTAGCTATTTTCCGTATCTCGCATAATGAATACGTTTTTAAAACATAAGTTTCTATATATTAATATAATAGGTAGATTTAGGCATCACTAATTGAATATATTTATATACATGCGCATATTGGAAATATATTCACAACAAAATATTAAATGCTTTAACAGCAAATGATATCAATTATCAATAATATTATGTAAATATTACATCAGTAATATTGTAATATCATTGTTGTCGGCTTTAGTTCACTATAACATCGCGCGTCGCCGGCACTTTTTAAATCAAGATGGCTATATTACGCGATCATACGATGGTTAGCCTTTGCACGATTTATATAAAAGAGATGAGATGCGATATAGAGCAACGATACAATGCACATATTACACATAAGCACATACATATACACACAACATCGTATACTATACATAGTTATGCACATGAAATACAAAAATATAACATACGTGTATATATATATATATACATACACATATATGTATACATGTATGTATACATAAAATTATTCTTAAATTTTTTAATATAATTTTATATAAATGAGTAATAACATGCAAATACAATATGCATAATTATGTATGTTACACTGAGAAAAATGGTCTGGTTGAATTAAATAGTAATTCTAGTGGAAAATGGACGAATCAGAATTTTCTAGTTAAATTTATTAGAATTCCAGTTGAAATAACCGGATTGATATAATTCTGATTGATATAATTATTCTCTGGTAAAAATAAGAATTCTAGTAGATTTTACCAGAAATATTATATCAGAATTCCGGTTATCTCAATTAGAATTCTAATAAATTTAACCAGAAAATTCTGATTTGTCTATTTTCAACCAGAAATTTTTTTCAGTGTATATAAACGATGGATTGATTAATCGAAGACGCGACCGTAGTGTTTTCGAATAAAGATTTTTTATACTGCTATACAGATATAAGAAAGCAAGAAAAAGAAACACAAAGCAACAAAAAGAAACATAATGTGTTCATTACATTTATAGGTAACAGTATTCGTTTGTATGGATATTTTTTACGATAGAAAAATGGAAGATGAACGCGAAAGTGAGAGCCTTTCGAGAAAAATATACACACCAAACTCTTTACACACTTAACACATTGTACAATAGTTATTGTACACAGCGGACATACACACGACACGCAAACGGATACAGTTGAATAGAAACTATTATTTGACGACACGGAATATTTTTAATTGCACGTTTAATATATATATTTATAAGTACACACATGAAACATAATAATACAGTTTGCAACGTAGTAATGCAGTTCGGAACACGGGCGACCATAATAGTTTTCCGATGGCGCGGGCGGAAGAAACATACACATTATTAAAGACCGCGAGAGAGATTCTTAAAAAAAAATTAAAATATATTTATACTGTATACATATATGTTACGGGCGAAGTCCGCAAGTCGGTAAGGTCAATGTCGATATTTTGCCTGTAAGATATACACATACAAAGTATTTCGGAAATCGGGGTACAATCGGAAAGGAATAATTCCTTGTATAAAAGAAGGGGTGAATAAATCAGATTGTGGCTAATAATATGTTTAACAAATATTCAAATTTGAAACAGAACTCTACGAAAAAATTTTATTCTATAGTTTCGACTACTTACATAAGAAATTATCTCTTTTCCGGTTATACGATTTCCGAAACACTGCATACATGTATATATATATATATACATTTTTTTTCAATCAGAGTATCAAAATGCTAAATCTGTCTACACTGAATTATGATTTAAAATATATACACTTCTCTACTTTTTATATTTCGAACATCGCTTCATGTCGCTTATCTCGCGAAAAACTCGAAGAATGAGATTAATGATGAGACTTTCCTGCAAAGAAAAATTGTGCAAAGACAATTTCCTTATGTCGTTAATATGACGAACTATAAATGGAAAGTGAATTCTCTGAAGTCTCTTTGAATTCTCTTTTTAATGAATGACTCCAGGCGCGAATAATTTTTTTTCAACCCGACTTCTCGCGATTCAAGAACGATTCTTCGCTGACAGCGCGCGCGCGCACTATAGATTATAAGATTAACGAAAGGAAACTCGACGATGTACCTCGCAGTTAATAAAATTCCGTTCTCGACGGAGACGGAAGCCTTCTCTCGCGTGAATCCTTGCTTTGTCATATTTTTTGCTTGCACGTGTATCCGACCTGTGAGTTCTCTGAAACGTGCCAAATAATATCAATTTAGTGTTTATAATAGACTGAAGTCGGCTGTTCAGCCGTAGTTATATTTAGTGCAAATAATTAATTGGTTGACATTACATCGAAAGTCGATGACCTTAAATTAAAAGAATATTATATTTCAAATTTTCCTTATATTGTTTTTTTTTAATTAGCTACAGCTTTCTAGGTCTTCTCTCGGTAAAGATCTTTATTGAAAATTGCTTAAAGAGAAAGGAAAAGCAGATTGAGAAAAAGTCATTGATCAATGAATCGCGATGTTGTGTTTTTTCTCTCCTCTGTAGTCTTTTTATCCTTCTCTTATCTCAAAGAATTTTTCATTCTCTTTGATGTGTTCGAGACGACAATTCAGAAATTGAATCTAACTGTAGAAATTTCGCGAAAAACAAAGAGATCATATTCTCTTTTCATTTTTATACGTAAAGTGAAGTGATTGAAATGTATATAAGAATTTTGAAATAATTTTTAAGAAGTAGAAATAGTTAATTAAAATTAACTAAATTATATAGACGTAGACGTTTAGATTAGATAAGTAATTAGGTTTGTATAAACATGCGCATAAAATAAATGCAAGATCTCTTTTAATTGTCGTCTCGAATTCACGATTCTTTTTCACATAAAAATGTGGCATGTTTATAAATTTCGAGCAAATTGTGTTTCGTTAATGTCATAAATGACATAGCAAATGATGTAGCAGAAAACTATAAGCTGTCGACACGCTTTGCAATTAATTTTGTATTGGCCATTAAAAATTGCGCGAAAGGAACAAATATCGTAGCTTTCGCCAACAAAATAGATTACAGTACAAACTTTGCTCGCGTATATCTTTTTCTTTTGCAAAGTCTCGAATTTATATCTTCATATAGCTAAGTTTTGTTACTATACATTGTTTTTTTCGTACATGAATAAGAAGTTATTAAGGACAGTATTGTTTCTGCTACTCTATAAATTCATAATCTTACAAATTGCTCGCAATCAGATTTTTCGAAACCTACATCTCGCGTCCGTCACGAAGAGTACACACGTACCTGCTAGTTACAGTTTAGAAATTTAAAATTAATAATAATAGTTACAATAAAACTCTAAAGAATAGTTTTTTGTAATCGACTTATGTCGGTCTAGCTTTAACTTATAATTAAACAAAACAAGGGGGCACGCATTATTATTAAAAATGACAAACTTGGCACACGAGCCTCTCTCCTTGTCACATAAACTTTCGATGAATTCCTTTTTGTCAACATACGATCTTTGTGAGGTCAGAAATTTATGTTTTCTTTCTTCACTTTCGTCGTATCCTTATTTTCTTCATACCAGAGTGAAGAGTGAGGCTCGGTATGTCTATATTTCACGAACTATATATGTTATACAGAATATTTCATTTCGGATTTAAAGAATATCTCCCGACGATCGTAGATCGCAGGAAGAGGAGTTTAATTTCGAAAACATAATAGAATTTTTTTATATTGATATTACTTAATATAATTTGTTTTTCTCTGATTTTTTAAGGTTTTTAAATATACACTCTGAAATGAAATATTTTGTACATGTATGTATTGCCTACTCTTCGTCGGGCTCTCCATAGTTATTATTCGTTGCAAACGGTTCGTATCCCGAGTTTTTGCTAGACTTCAATCGACGATGTTTAAGAAATGAAATAGTAACTTGTGAAGAGAGAGAGTCTCTCTCGCAGATGTGAGCGAGATTTAAATTTGCCAACTACAATTAAATAATACGTACCTAGGTACCTCCCACGTGTACCTAACGATTGTTTACACAGAGTTTTATATATGTATGAGAAAAAAAGCTCGATGTAACATAGTTTATATAACATATTATATTTGTATAGCCTTGAAGTTTAAGCGAAACTGCGGAAATGATAAAGAAAGTAGTGAAGAAAATGAGAGGGTCTTGACAGGAGTAGGATAGAGAGTGAGAATTAAAAGAACGAAGTATATTTTATGTAACTTAGATTTTTTATCCAGAGAGCAAGGAAAGATATTTTTTATTTATCCTCTTTATTTTTATATACAACGTCGCTATTATAACGAAACTAATCTCTCGTCCTATATAATAATAATTAATCGGACGAGAGATTTGTAATGGCGATCGAAGTAGATACTGTTACGCGAGTTGATAAAGTACTTCTGGCGCAATAGCAGAGAGGTGAATAAGAAATTTATCAGATTATATAGCTAAGTTTACATAAAAGAAAATAGGAAAAATCATAATAGACGTTAATCATAATTGTACATACGTAATTATGTATATGTACATAATTATATGTGTATATACATAATTATATGTGTATAAAATTATATATATACTATAAAATCACATACAGAAGTTCATATTAACATTAAACTGCGATATATATATTATATACAGATAGAATCTCTTATTTTTGCAAGAAAATCAGTTTCAGAAAAGGAAAAAAATGACAAGACGTGTTCGTTGATGGTCATAACGAAGAAGGACGCACTGTCGTTTCGCTTATTGTTCACGCTTTTGTATTTTTTCGTGACAGCGTGTTTCTTCGTCGCGACGATGAACGAGCATTACAGAAACTTAGCTACTTTAATAGGAAGATCGCTTCGTCTAAGCTCCGCTCTCAATATTTTCAAAAAATTGGTGCTTCGGGTTTTTGAGCGAGGATTGAGCGAGGATGTAATGAAAATATTCAATATTATCGGGCTAATATTCAATATTTTCTAATTTTAGATTTACATTTTTATATAGTGATGTTTTTGTGATTTCGTTAGATAATCAATTGTGAATTATATTATTTAGAAGATGAAATTTAAAAATGCGAGAGAGAAAAGTAGGGAATTTTCGAAGTGTTTCTTTTGTATCGGTTTTAAGTT